CAGTCGTCTGTCAACTGAGCAGAAAGAGCATTTAAAAAGAATGAGAGGAACCAAATAAGCATCTATTACGAAAGAATAATGAAATATCCCAATACTGCTTGTACAGAATGAGAAATCGTGCAAAACAATCATGAAAGAATGAGACTGACTCGAGAGCAGCTGGAAAAGAATGAGAATTCGAACGGATAGTAAAATTTAGCACTTCAATGATTTGTTTAATGATTCAAGATTACCGAATTATATGGGACGATTTTCGCTCATACTGACTTCGGACGATGATAACTTGAATAAAATCACTGTTGATATTATTANTGAAAATTGCAACAGGGAAACGATTCAGATTCAGATAATCTCACAATGAGAGTCTGCATTGAGTAGATACGACAGGCTTTGAAACTGATCAAAACTTTAAAATGATAATGACAGAATAAAAGGTGGAAACGTCAGAAAACAAATGAGTACTGCATGAGGATGAATGACTTTTGCGAAAAAATAAAAACTTTATCCTACTATTAATGAGTGTTGATAATAGCTTTGACGATGATTGCTTTCACATGGAGCGGTTACAATTGAAAAATTGCTNCGAAAATTGCAACAGGGAAACGATTCAGATTCAGATAATCTCACAATGAGAGTCTGCATTGAGTAGATACGACAGGCTTTGAAACTGATCAAACCTTTAAAATAATAATGACAGAATAAAAGGTGGAAACGTCAGAAAACAAATGAGTATTGCATGAGAATGAATGACTTTTGCGAAAAAATAAAAATTTTATCCTACTATTAATGAGTGTTGATAATAGCTTTGACGATGATTGCTTTCACTTGGAGCGGTTACAATTGAAAATTATTTGGAATAATACACGATGAATATTGGCTCGTCATTGAGTTCTCATTGAGGAAAATAGAACAAAAATCTGTTTCGTATAAACATTGAGCAATGTTTTGTGTGGATGGATATGAGTGTAATTGTGTTGCATAGAAATTTTGTCCATCCAACGTTGTATCGACGAACATTTGATGAAGTATGCAAGCGATAGAACGGAGTATTTCTATTCGGAAATCGTCATTTCAACAAATTCGTTACACTATCACAGCGAACGATGTGCTGAAGCGCAAATGCGGACGATCTCGTTCGTTCTCTGAGGGCAGCCAGCAATCTCTGCTGATTGAATTTATGCAAGGACTTAATTGAGCTCGTTATCAAGACAGATAATTCATCGTTGGATCACTATAAGATGTCAAATTTGTCTCTGAAACATTCTTGATTGATAAGTGATGAAAATTTGATAAGCGAGAAGAAACGATCACTCGAGAATATTTAATCAATGATTGATAAGTGATCCAGCAATCAAGCCGATTCAAATATTCAGTGATTTGCCGTATATCCATGATACAGTGAATTGAATTTAGAACGGATATTGAGTCGTTTGCTGAACAGATCTGATTGAGTGCGAGAAACGACAATCTATGGTTGTAGTTCAAAAGCACTATCGAACAGGTATTCTCGCGGTAATCGATCTCAACTCAGTGCATCTTGAACTACTGATCACAGCGCATCAAAGTTCAACGTCCGCTAGTCAGATGTGCTTATATCTTCCAAAATAACGAACAAACAACAGAAAGTATACTGAAACCTAAAGGTTAACATTCATAATTGACAAAGAAAGAATGTACAAACAATTAGGTTGAAACAGTAAAAATACACAAAAAGCAGTGACGAAATTGGAGAAAAATGCCGTTTCATTTCATAAAGCCGAATGTTTCAATGACATTTCTCGTACTTTAAGTGTAGGCGATCCGCGAATGATTCTGATCAGCGACATTGATGATCATCAAAACAAGCAAACCATTTGCGAGTTTAATGCTTGTTGGTGAGGAAAATGATGAAATATGACAGCCAATGCGTTCGTAGGGACAGTAGTGTTATCAATGCTGGTGAATGATAACGATACGAAAGACGATATGAGACGGAACCGAGTTTTTGTACGAACGAAATCAACTGTTCTTGTGTCTTGTGTAAACACATGGAAGAAGTGTTTGTGTAAACGCACACAAAATTATTATTCAATAATACTTTTGATTGGTGTTTTCTTGTGACATCATTCATTGTAAGATACCAGCTCTCAGAAATGCTTCACTACCCGAATCGAGTTCCGATAATCATATTCGTCGCCTGTATAACCCAGATATTCGGACAACAATCCATAGATACCTTACAGTCGCTTCAAATAGTAAGTTATTCAATTTGCTTGAGAAATTCATCATTTTCGATTGATTTCATGATTTCGTCATTGAACACACATGTTGTGCAGATTGCATTTTATTGATTCATGATTCATGAGAATACGTGTTGTGAAATTTTGTAATGATTTTCCATTTTATAATCATGAAGATTTGATGCCATAATTTTTGGGTTATATTTTCATCCAATTGATTTCAACCTATTTTAGTGTTTTCATAGTTGAAACCATTGTTATTTCCATCGTCAAGTAATCTTTAAGCATTGATTTCGAAACGAGTTTTGTTTTGCAGCTTTTCAGGCACGGCGAACGAGCACCTACTAAAATACTCATTTTTCCAAATGAAGACCCAAAAATTTTAGACAAATTCCCGATCGAAGCAGGTGAATTGACCAATGTAAGTCGCCATTCATATTATCTGATTTATCATCAAATTCTTACTAACAATAGTTTGAAGGACGCTGATTAAACCATCAGATTAATTTGGAAATCCAAATTGATTCGACACTGATGATAAATGAATGTTACAGGATGGAATCATGCAAGAGTATCAGTTGGGGCAATACATACGCACAACATACGATAAGTTTCTTGGAAAGCGTTATATACCATCTCAGGTGAGTGCTATCCAAAATGGAAGTTGCTTAAAACCGCAACGATTTGTGAAACGTCTTTGTATTTGTTAGCTGAGGGTTTTGTCAATGCACTCATATGGATAGTCTTCCTCAACATCAATTGAATTCATGTGATTTGATTAGTTTAAGCACGATTATATGATCGTATTGCCACTTGATGATACATTTGATGCTAAGTTCAGTTTTATTTGAAACAAAAACTATCTGAAATTTTTCCGTTATGAATTCATTTCATCTAGTTCACTGTGCTTACAATTAGCGTAAGGCGTTTTTCAGATTCGAGTGCTAGCCGGCACCGATAATCGAACAGTGGTCAGTGCACTCAGTGTACTCGCCTCGCTGTTTCCGCCTGAAGGCGATCAAGTTTGGAGTCAACTTCTCAAGTGGCAACCTATCGCCGTTCATAGTCAACCAATATTAGACCAGGTCAGAAATGCTCTCTGCGGCTGCTGCATGAACTCTCAATCAGCATTTTCGTCCGCAACATTGAACTCGAAAGCATATCCTGAATCATTATTCAACTGTCAGGCTGAAGCTATGCATTGAAATGAATTTGAGGGATCAAGAAAGTTCTCAGTCGAGAGCAAAATGAACTGATAATTCGTTTATGATTGATAAAGTGATCGTTAGAAGATCGATTAATGCCAATAGTGAGCACTGTGCTGCTGACATCGAGAGCTGGAAATCACTAGGGATGTGAGCCTGAAATTTCACTTCTCTAGTGAGAAACGCTTGGCTAAAACGCTTTCCATCTCATTTGCAGTTTGCAATCGGAGCGTTTGATAGTTGTCCAAACTTAATGGACACCTACCAGAATACAGATGTTTATAAGAAGATCGCCGCCGATGATACACCATTCAAGCAGTGGTTAACTCAGATGACTGGTATTGAAGTGAATGATCCAATAATCTATAATCAAGTCCTTGATTGTCTTATCTCAAGGGTCAGTTGATTGGTTCATTGCAACTTCACCAAATTGCCCATATTCGCTTCCCCATATGATACTGAATAAGAAAAATCGGATTGTCGAGTTCAACTGTGCGCCAGTAACGCTATACGAGTACTGGAGTAGTTCAAATTTAGGAGAGCACAGAAGATTTTGAGATGGGAAACAATAAAAGTTGATGTGAACGGATTAAGATGGCTGGGTGATCATTTTGTATTCTATACAGATGAAGACATTCTTCCGTCTCATATTCTTACTCTCCAATCCTACTCAACTGATTCAGTTTGTTCATCGCTATTACCGTGAAACGACTGCTAGATGCATATGAAACAGCATTTGAGATATTGAATTTACCCATTCGAAGATTATGACCAATATATGATTGATTAATTACGCCACTCAACAATTTTTCAGACAAGTCTCAAGGATTTACCACCGCCAATGTGGGCACAAAACGATACCATTCTAGGAATGGTTTCAGAAAAGCATATTCGTTTGAACGCCCAAATTACAGACTTGATCTTAGCGGAAAGTGGAGGTTCACTGAATTTATGATTTTTTTTACTGACTCATTGTTTGAATTGATCAAATCCATCTAAATCATATTCGTGGATCAGTTGACCACTGAAGAAGTTAACCGTGATCTATCAATAACAAGAGACACATGGAGCTTCGAGGGACTAGATTTCACGATAATTATCCTGTTGAATTAGCCGATGAAGAGTTAATTATGACCTCAGTGGATGTCGATGCTATGCAAAGAGTTAGATATGCAAATGCTGAAGTGACTTTCAGGATGGCTGTACAATCTATTCGTTGAAGGAATTGAAAATCGCATAAACAATCTGACAAATCATAAACTTTTATTGTATGCAGCGGTTAGTTAGCGGCTAATAATTTCATTTATGCTTCAGATTGACCAATCTCTCGGTTTTCACTAAATGATTTGCGTAAGAATAATACGAAATTATTCGCAGTCATCAAAAGATAATTGGTTAAGCGAAAAATATCAAAGATAATCAAGAACAACTTGTATACGATCCCCCAGGAATCGTTAAATTTCAGCATGACGGTAACATTTTAACATTTGGAAAATTCTTCGCAATCCCACAACTCAGTACAATGCCACCGTTTGGGTCAGCCATTGTGTTGGAACATCATCTCAGGAATGGCGATCATGTAGTTGAGGTAAACGTTCTTGAGCCCATATTCATAGAGTACTTCACTAAGATTTGCTAAATTCGAGTGAAAGTGTATGGAAAGATAACGACCTGAGATGTTAAATGATAGCATATTTTAAAAAATAAGCATTACTTACCGACAAGATATATGCTTTTCGGATAGCTGAGAATCTCTTCTATCAGACGATCATAAAAAACTGATACGTTACCGGACAAACCTGAGGACCAGGGTTCCTTGAATGTAGTACTGAAATATAACATTAGTCATATATTGGTGATAATCGGATATATGATCTACCTCACAAAACTGATCATATCTCTATTAATAGGCAGATTCCGTCGACAATATATATGTTTTTCGGATAGCTGAGAATCTCCTCTATCAGATGCTAACAGAAAACTGATACGTTACTGGATAAACGTGAGGACCAGGGTTCCTTGAATGTGATGCTTCTCTTTTGCTTAGCTAGATTTGATCGAAACAAACATTTAAATCTCAACGATAATTTGAACGTTTCCAGTTATGGTTCCACAGTTTCCAAAGTAATTCAAGGACGCAGATTGCAATCCCAGGATGCGGTGATCCATGTTTATTCAATGATTTCAAACGTATGAATCGAAGATTCTCGTCATCCTCATGGACGTTTCTATGCAAAGGCGATTCAGAGTTATGTGAAGATTATTCGATCGTTTTGGGTGAGCGAAATTCATCGATTCTTTTCAATGAAAAGAGACGTCACTCTTTTGATTGTTTCACATGTCAAATGATCAAATCAGCTCAAATCAGCTGGATCATTTCAATATTCTAGTTGAGAAGCAGTGATGTGATATACAGTGGTAAAAGAGCCATTCTCTATAATTATTTTTTGTGCTGAAGAACGGTTTGTAAAGTTGATAATTTGTGATGTTAATATAACTGACTAAGGAATAAGTTGATCGTGAAGGCTTTCGTCGGATTTTTTGACTTTTGAATTCGGAAATTTTAGTTTCAGTCACTGAATTTGATTGATTACAGCGACAATGGTTGGTCTCACAATAATGCTCGGCATTCTGACGGTGCTACTTGTCTTCGTTTGTTGCGCTTATCGGAACCGTCTGAACAAGCTGCTTGACCCCGAGCAACAGTCCTTACTCAGATGAATACAAATGACATGTTTGAATAACTCATCAACGAAAGTAATGAATTACTGTTTTCTTCGAATATACATATGGTCTATTGTTTCAAAAGTATTGCGTTAAATGAACTGTCTAAAAATGATTCGATCTTAACGTGATGAGTGCTTACTGAATACTTACTGTATCATCGATATCGCCTTTTCATCCGACGATATAAATGAATTTTGATTGTGCTGTTTCGAATAATGTTCGTTCATGAACTTGGAGGGAAACGGTCGTTTTTATGCATGCTTTAAAGATATTACATTGTGGAAAATTTCACTTGAACTTACAAATATCTCATACGTCCAATTTAAAAAAAAACTGAAGGCTGTTTTGATTGAGTATGGCAACCGTCAAATTAGTGATGTATGAATGTGGTTTGTGCATGTTTGCGGAATACCAAGCAATCGTGCGATGTCAATTCTCATCCATTCATTATTGAATTTATTTATTTACATGGATTCAAACAAAAGCCATACGCACATAGTAACAGCGTTGAATAACATTACACAAAATGATGGTGAAACGTTACAATTACCGTACTTGAACAACAAAACAGTAACAACAATAATAATGGTAATAACAATAATAATAAAACAAGTAATCGTTCCATTACCAGTGTTAAAGTTGGAGAAGTTAATAGTGATGAACTCATAATTAATATAATTAACCTTTAGATATGAACAACCTATAAACGTGCGCTAGAGTTCGCCGGAGAGCAACAACCTCAGTCAGCTTTTTCACGGCTTTGCTATTTCTTGACGATTTTGCTTCCGGAGTTTCTAGTCTCAGCCCTCCCCCCCCCCTATAAATTATTCTCCAATAAGGGTCTCTTCACAGGAGCAAAAAGTTGCTATCCGACAAACACACGTGCACAATTTCGAGTGCCGTTCAACTTTTTAAAAGATAAAATTAAAGTAAGAACAAAAGATAGGTAGGGTGAGGATGATACACGTAAACGTTAAGAAGTTAAGTGCAACAAGGCAAGAGGATAAGAAGTTCTGAAAATGCAAATCCAGTTCATTCCAGACGAAGTACTTCATCAACATTTGATTTGTCATGAATTCGCAGTCAAAACCATTTTATCAATGACTATCCACTAAATGACTAAATATTTTCTCGCTCGATGATCAGTCTGATCAGTCTCACAGATCGATAGCTGAAATCTTCCTGAACGAATGCATCCTGAAAATCCAGTCCGGAAATATATTTCCAAAGATATATTCATATCCTGGATATCTACACGTACAGATAGTAAAAGTAATCAATGGTAAAGATAAGTGCAAGCCAATAACCACAAAAGAGAAAGAATAACCAAGACAGATCGACAGACGCACGAATGAATACCGTCAACAGGACGAGGTCAGATAGTATCAGTAACAATTTGATCCGAAATTTAGAACAAATTTTTTTTCGCGTTCAGATAAGACGAATGAAGCAAAAACAAAACAAAAAAGAGTAAGTGATAATGGTCTCAGACGTTTACAAACGTAACTTCAAGACTACGATAAATTGTTGTCAACTTCATTAGAGAACTTTTTGAGAGTTCATTCTGAAAACAAGAAAGGTGAGTAACAGTGAAAACAGTCATAATGAGATTTAAAATAATAACAAAATAAAATTTGAAATCGTCAGCATCTAAAGAAAACATCTCAGTAGCAAAATCAAGGAATGACGATCACCACCTTAATACTTAACACTCAACTGCTTGTTACTAATAAGATGTATCAACATTATACATCATAGATTTAGTCACAATTATGAGCGAAAGATATTCACGTTGACTTGGACAAAACCGAGTCAATTAGAGCGAAAACATGAAACATCACGTAAAGTTGATCGCAAATGAGTAACAATGCAAAATTAAATGCATACGTGAAGCATGAAATATACATTGTGTATATATTTAATTACTAACACGAAAAATGTGAGAATTACCATTTTTGGATTCATTTTATCATATGAACATAAATATACATATGTAAATCTATGTACCAATCAAGTTTTTTTTTGAAACAGAACAACGCAAAATCATCATATGAATAACATGTTGTACAAAGAGCAGTCAAACGCACATTTACACGATGAAGATGGCATTAGCTGTTTCGGCAAAATACATTGATGCTCAATATACTCATCGCCAGAAAAATGGACCTAAATAAACGATTCAGTGAAACTTTTAGGAACATTAATGCCTTACGATTAGTTGACGATAAGCAAAATGTCTTAGCCGAGTAACCGAAAGGTAGGGTGAATTGAAAAAAACATTGTAAATTGACAATTATCGAACAAGGTGTTCATTGAATGAAGATGAATGATCTTAAGAGAGCATGAGTGCAAAATTCGTTGGAATATTGTTCGATGTTAAACCAAAATTCGGTGACTGTTACATAAACAATGCACAAAAATGACAATAACAACGACAACAATGACAATAATAATGATTTAATGGTGATACTTAGCATAGAATTAGCAGTAATAATAACGAAACTAAAAACAAAATGTCAACAAAACGATATAAGTTCTATACAAACATTTACTAAATTACAATCAACAAAATATAATCACCACTCCAATCAGTGGTCTTCTAAATCAGATTTCGTTTCAATCACTTCGAGATCACTGTTTTCAACACTTGTCGGTGTGCCTTTACCGGCACTTTCGCAAATTTTTTCGAATTCAGACGTTTCCAACGAAGTTTTTTCCGAAGGCGTCCGCTCATTCTCGAGCATCGGATACAGATGAACCGGACTACTGTCCTCACTATCGCCGGATGATGGCTCTTTCTTGAGTAACTTTGCCAGCTCTTTAACACCTGATCCTCCAACAGCTGATGTGCCACTCGGATCTGTTGCAATAATGCAGTGTTGGATTTGTTCACTTAGAAGATGACGAATTTGTGAGTCTTTCGATCTCAACAACTTCTTTGTGCTATCGTACTCGATCAACTGAAAATTTCAAAACACTCGATCAGGAATTTCCCTTTGAAAACACGAACTAATCGCGAAATTTTTTCAGCAAAGTAAATTCAAGCTTGAATTTCTTTGGTAATTGGATTGATTTACTGAATATGTAAAACATTGATCAGTTGTAGAACGAAATATTGATGTGAATATCAATTTAATTGCGAATATGAACGATGACTGTTTATCACAACGTCCGATCGGGCTATTATCATTACAAAATTTCAATTCTAGGTGACCGATTCGTTCAACTCTTAGAAATCAATGGAATACCGTCTAGTAATTCAT